GGTAGATCAACATAATCAACTTTTCTTTTTTTTGTACACTTAGTATTTGATATATGCACTGAATTAGGATTTTCAGATATTCTTTGATCATCACATACATTACCATCTTCAGACACTGCATTTTTGCCAACTATCTTTTTTAGACCATTAAACATTCCTAAAGAAAAACATTTAAATTTTAAAGAATTCTATATGTAGATAAAAGAATTCTGATCTGTTAAGTAATTAAATTAGTGACAGTTAAGTAAAATAAAATTAGTGATGTTAGAATAAAAGCTTTATTTCATGCTATTATGAAATTTCAGTTAATATCAGAAAAGTAAAATAAGATTTTGGAAATAAATTACTATGAACAGATCGACAGACATACTTAGATTGAGGTTGGAGGCACTTAGATGTGGCTTACGTGTAAGACTTCCACTGCGGTGTTTCTTTCTTTTGAATTTTGAACGCAAATGATCAGATACATCTAATTCATTATCTGTGCTGCCAATCGTTTCCATAGAAATAGCTTGTGTTATATGATCTGGTAAAATACCAATACTTTCTGCATTTTCAATTAATATCTACAATATTTTCAGATTAAACAAATGAAACTACTTTAAATTAAAGTTCCTCTCCAAGATAAATATATCACCTTGACGACAACTAAATGTAATTCAAGACGCATTTGTACAGCCGACATAGTAGTTACTTGCAAGGGCATGATATTTGGACCAACAACTTTTGCTAAATTATCAATGCTCATTTTATTTTGTTTCTCGTATATTGCTACTTTCTTTAAAAATTCCATGAAAAATGCTAAAGTATTTAGATGATGTGGCGGTAAAAGGATACAAGCTAGTAACAATGCTTGTACGCAGTAAGTTTTCAACATAACGCAGTGTACAAATAAATCATGATATGTATATGGAATCAACGGCTCCGGCAAGTCTCTGAAGAAAGTTTTTAAACAATTAGCTACATCAATAGCATGGTGTTTCTCTCCTAAACTGCCTCCGTTATCTAAACGAGCTATCAACTCCTTTTGTCTAAGCTGCGATCCGGCTTTCCTGAATAATCCCTCCTGGGTAATATACTTCTCTAAAAATGTGGATGCTTGACTGACAAAAACAGGCACATGTACAATAGCACCGGAAGACAAATTCACGACATCCAACGGTTGATACAACAAAGATGTCTTGAAGACCTTTTTTGAAATGCGTTTCCCTTCGGAGTTTTCTGTTTTGAACGTATTCTTCTTAAAGCGATATTTAATTCCGTAATTACGAAGATCACTGACAATCGAATGGTATACCCTTTCTTTATGTAGAACATCGTAAATCAACATATTTGTATTTCGTGAATAGAGATTATTTGATCATCAAATTACGGTGAAATTTTTAAAATATAATCTTTTGTTTACGAACTATACAGTTTTCATATTCGTACAAACACAGTCAAACGTATAATCATTTTAAGATTACCACGTAACTAGCGTACAATATTGCCAACCACGCAATATTTCTCATGAAATGAAACTAAGGCATTAATAGGAAATATTAAATTTTCTAATTATTTTGAAAATGAATACAGTTGCATTTGTACTTAAACTGTACAAATATGTAGAATATATTTTACGTGTGAAATTATAATTTATATTATATTATATAGTAAGTGGAACTATAGACTAAAAATATAAATCATCACTAGATTGCATATTATAGTCTATAAACTAGAGATATGAATTATCGCTAGATTGAACATATACATACTATAAACTAGAGATATGATTTATATATATATTTATATTTATATATATAGAAAATTTATATCTGCAAGAATATCCAGGATATAAAATACTTATTATAATATTTAAAGATTAAAACAAATTTTTATTTAGGTTCTATTTCTTTAATGGCGTTTATAAAGATATAAATTTGTACAAATTGCATATTAATTTGAACGTGAATTATTAGTTGCTAATTTCATATGATTTAAAAATCATAATTGTTATTCTTGAGTAAAAAACTTTTCTCGCGTTTAGTTTTGATTTTGATCACTATTATGTATTCGAAGTAATTTTAATTGATAACGCGAGATATTAGTTCTACATTTTATCTTATCTATGATATTACTGTAAGGACGCGGGAAGACAATTCACGCAATTTATTTGAATCTCAAATATTTCATTCTTCTCGAACGTTGAATCCTAAACATTTCATTCTGTTTCCATTTTATATCGTTCGCGAAACAATTTGTAAAATTTCTAAAGAGTTATTATGTTTCCAACGAATATGCTTAAATATCGACAATGTCTGTTCGATAAATTAACTAGCCGATATATAAAATATCAATGTATCAATTGTTTTTCAGTAACAAATCAACAACGTTTGATACAATCATTACGTACGTTATCGTTTTCACCTGTTTAATTTTTCTAAATTAAATTATTTATTTTGCATAGTTTCGTCAGTTAAAAATACAGAACCTAGACTCACGCAAAATACACTCTGGTACCGGCTATTTTAAATTGTCGTCTATGAAACTGTATGTAGCGACATTCCCGGATATTTTCAGCATTGAGAAGCAACAAAATTTCTATTCTTTTTTTTCGTTTTAAATTACAATGTAAATAACAATTTCGTAAAATACTTTAATTGACGTCATCTATAAAACTTACCGCAGATCAATAAACGTCCACAGAACATATATGTAATTCTCTTTCTCTATAAACGTGAACTTATGTATTCAGAACGGTACAAGCTTGATCTAAGTTTAGAAATTGATTTTGTATCCAAATAGCACTACTATAAAGTAGACAATTCTTATATAGTTAGAGACAATAGTTCATGGTAATCCTAAAATCCTTGTTACATGACAACAATAGCAATAATAAATATCATTTTTTAAGACGTACTTAAATTAAATTGCCTATAAATTTCTTTTACAGCATTAGACCAATTGAGGGAGAGAAATATGCAAACAGTACGATTATTGTCAGGATATGATATGCCCACAGTGGGTTTGGGTACATGGCAGGTGATTTAACTGTTTTGTTGAAACAAAGTTATTATTTAAAGGAACCTTGTCATTTTTTTTAGATTAATTGATAATTTTCGTTTAAATTCGTATGATGTTACACATCTGTTCTGTAGGCTAAGCCTGAAGAAATTGAGAAAGTTGTAACAACTGCTCTGGATGTTGGCTACAGACACATTGATACCGCATTTAATTACAATAACGAAGAAGCAATAGGATCCGTATTAAAAGAATGGTTTAAAAAAGGTGGGAAGCGTGAAGATCTTTTTATTACCTCAAAGGTAAAAGTCTTGACACACATCAAAGGTATAATTTACACAAATAAAGATAAAAAAAAATAAGACACTTAATTACTTTTGTAGTTACCCAATTTTGGTAATCGACCATCAGATGTAGAAAGATTCCTTAATTTATCATTGAAAAGGCTTGCTCTGGATTATTTGGATATGTACTTAATTCATATGCCTTTTGCCTTTAAATTAAATGAAGATACTTGTACTTCAGCAACTAATGAAGATGGTAGTTTTGTGCTGGATCTCAATACAGATCATGTTTCAGTGTGGAAGGTTTAATATAGTTTTATCAATAAATAAGATGCTAACAACTTGTAGCTTATTGTCTTTTTTTCATGTTCCAGGAAATGGAAGAACAAGTAAGAAAAGGTCGCACAAAGTCAATAGGTTTGAGTAACTTCAACGAAAAACAAGTCTTAAATGTATGGGAGAATGCACAAATTAAACCGAGTAACTTGCAAGTAAGTTTGAAATGTAAATAAGTTTTATTACATCTCAATAATAATTATTCTAATTATTATTAGGTAGAGTTACATGTATACTTACAACAGAATTCGCTACGACAATTGTGTCAAACGCACAACATCATTATAACAGCCTACAGCCCTTTGGGGTCACCAGGAGCTAAAACGCATTTTCAAACGAAATATAATCATAACATTGAAGACTTTCCAGATGTTCTGGGACATCCAATAGTACAAAAAATAAGCACAGAACATAAACGATCACCAGCACAAATTTTGTTGCGTTACTTACTGCAATTGGGGGTCGTCGTAATTCCAAAAAGTAAATCTCCTGAGAGAATCAAGGCGAACATTGACTTGTTTAATTTCTCACTGAACGAAGAAGAGACGAGGACCTTAAGTACGTTAGACAAGAGTGCGCGTGGAAGAATTTTTAATTTCTTATTTTTCAAGGGGTAAATATATTTATTAAACATATTTTATTTCAAATAATATAAAAATGTAAAATTCTTTTCAATTCTTTTTAGAGTCGAAAATCATCCATATTATCCGTTTAAAGATGAATTGCAGTCCTAAAACATGTTAATATGTAGTTCGAATACATACATATTTATACATTGAAAATGTATGAAATACGGTACAAAATGAAAACATATATACAATAAATACATAACACAAATGCAAAGAAGAATCATTACATTTCAGTGCAATCTATACAGCATTTTACGTTGCATACGATGTTGAAGTTCCCCACGTCGTATCATTGTGTGAATAACTTTGTAAATAGCACGTTCTGGATATGCTTGTTTTACGAAATCTTTAACAATATTTTGCTCTGATACTTGATTTCCGATTGGAAATCTACGTTTCAATTGTTTCTCGATACGTGATAACATTTCATGATCTTCATCCGAGGTAAATCCTTCTGCACCTAAATATTTACATATGTTTAGAATGTAGTAGAATAAGTAAAAATACATATACTAGTTACTTAATTCTAGATTACCAGCTAACGATCCAGACATTGCAGCATCTAAAGTAGATACTTGGAAAAGCCTAAGCGCTTCGTTCACGTGAATTTCCGTGGCGAAGGGCTGTAATTGCATTTTAGCTAAAGATTCTGAAATCCTTATGATAGCTTCCAATTGACGTACTGTTATGGGAATAGATAATCTTTTCTCTATATCTTTCTCATGCTCTCTGGTGCTAGCTCGCATAACAACATAACGATTTTTTAATTTCTCTCCTGCCTCTTTGCTAAGTCTCGGACCACAACGACTGTAAAACATACATTAATTAATGACAAATAAATAAAATATTTTATCTAAAAAATAGTCTTACGTTCTACAGTAGTGAATATATTTTTTTAAAACGTGCAATGGTAACTCTCCTTCCGCCGATTGCTCTGTAACTTGTCCAGCGTTACTATGAATGTTCATTACATGTTTTGCTAGTGTCACATCTTTATTTTGCTCATGCTCGTCTTTAACAATAAATATCATATCAAAACGGGATAAAATTGTTGGCATAAAATCAATATTTTCTTCTCCTTTTATTTCATCCCAACGACCGAATATTGAATTTGCCGCTGCTAAAACCGAACAGCGAGTATTTAATGTCGTGGTTATTCCTGCTTTTGCAATTGATATTGTTTGTTGTTCCATAGCTTCGTGTATTGCAACTCTATCGTCCTCTTTCATTTTATCAAATTCATCTATGCACACGACACCACCATCTGCAAGAACCATGGCACCTCCTTCCATGACAAAATTCCTCTACAAATTAAATGAAATATTTTAGTAAACGTAAAACAAATGCATTTACATTTAAAAGTTAAAAGAATGAACTTACTGTTACTGGGTCTCTTAAGACTGATGCCGTTAGACCAGCAGCTGAACTTCCTTTGCCAGATGTGTAAATTGCAACTGGCGCAACTCTTTCTACAAATTTTAATAACTGTGATTTAGCCGTACCAGGGTCACCTAACATTAAAATATTAATATCTCCTCTCCTACAAAGCCCATCGGGCATTCTTTTCCTAGAACCACCAAATAACAGACAAGCTATAGATTTTTTAATATCTAATGCACCGAAAATACTGGGAGCTATACTCCTTGCAATTCTCTCATATAAATTAGAATCTGAAGCAAGACGTCTAAACAAATCTTCTTCTTCATTTGTGAAGCACGAATGTATACCTGAAAATCATGAAAATTAATAAAATACTCTTCAATAAAAATTGATTTCATAAAATCATTTTATGCTGTTTTACCACTGCCTGTATTTTCTTCATCCACGGAAATGCCAATGACTCTTATATATGGTGCTCGAACACCGACTAATGTTTTATCTTTTCCTCTGTTAGTAGTACTTTTAGTAACTTTCTTAATTGAATATATACCCAAAATAAGAACTCTATTGCCTGGCACAACTCTGTCACACAAGTAACGGTCGCAATACAACTGCAAGTGTCTCGGCATTTCACCTTGCGGAATTTGATCTGGCAATTCTTGTAACTTGAGAACTTGAAAATCAACGCAATGACATTTATCTGGCATTATAAAAAATGGATCCAAAGGACACTTCGGTCTTCCTGCTTGTTCTGTTGTGCATTTTCTAGGTAAAACGTATCCTTCCAAACCAGGTTTTATTGAAATGTTAGTTTGCATGCTTCTGCAAGAACGACACTGTATAGCAATTTTTGTTGCTTTTGCCCTGATTCCAGACGCAGAAATAATAATACCAGGTATTTTGATAAGTTTAGAAACTGCATCAGGCTAAAACAAAGCAATTTAATGAGCGCTATGTGCAGTATGAAGATTATTTCTCTCTTTTTTTTAGGAAAATATTTTTTTTTTAAATCGTACTTTGATTCCCCTTAACAAACTTGGATGTGAATCCGAGGATAATAAAACTTGTATATCTTCAACCTTCTCTTCATCTGGCGGTCTAGGAGCTGTAAGTTCATCTACTAAATCTTTCGCAGCTTCCTCCAAAATGGGTAAATATTCAGTCGGATGCTTGTAGACTTTTTCTGCGAGTGATTCATCAAAAGCAGCCAGATCTTCTAAATTGATTTCTACCCAATATTGACCCAAATTATAATTGCGTTTCAAAGTGTCTCTAAAAGATCATTACATTATTAACCTCTTTCCCTTTTCTTTTTTTAATTTCTATATATTAAAAAATTTTATGCTTATTCATGTACCTATATTTGTAATTGAAATTTCCCTCGTGGAATTGTCTAATAAATTCCATGAACTTTTTTTTCGAATGTTGGAGATTGGTCTGCGTTTCGTTGGACTCGCCTACGGAAAAATGATCAGAGAAGAATATTCCTGGATCGTCGAATCCTTCCATTTTTACTCGTCTTTATTTCTCTCTTTACACTTGCAAAAACATACAATCGTACAATACGCTGTAAGCAAGCAGCATTTGGCGGGAAATATTTTAGTTGCATCCTTTGAACGTTTCAACATAGAATAGGAAAGTATGAGACACGATCTTCCGTATCTCCATACGCTTAATTCGCATTGCGTTTCAAGATGCAGTCATACGCACATCGCATATAAAATAAATTTGAGGTAAATTAACAGTCGCAAAAAATAATAGATATAAATAATAACATTACTATAAAATTATAAAGAAAAATTTTCTGTACATTGACAGTGTCGCCACCTAGCAAAACAGACTAACCTATCTAAATATCATGAACTTTCTAATTCATGGTATACGTATATCGTCATACGTAATTCTTGTGTTGCAAAATACTGTCACTGGATTGTTTTTTGTGTTTGTGATACAGTTTGTTGGATTAACATAAAAGTAACAAGTTTTCCGTACGTGATTTGTGTACGCAACGAAGAATGACTGATATATGTAAATCGTACTTAGCTTTTCTACAAATTGCGACTCCGTGAACTACTTGTACTAATGGTACGAAAAACATTATTTGAAGATTACTTAATTACGCTAATTACGATAATTAAATTAAATACGCATTTTTCATTATTAGCGTGTATGTCAACTAAGTGTATTGTTTCAAATTCTTATCATTCTTATAAATTCAATTCCAGACAAAGAATTGACAGAAATTCGTGAAAGTGCTAGTTTCGTACAATGTGAATAAACGGTAGTCACTTTTTTGTATAGAATACTTTGGAAATCTAATCAGAAGTATAATTTTTGAAGTGACAAGTGTGTTTTGTTGAAAATTTTTTTACATCATTTAAAATGTGCAATTATTTCTATTGCTATTCTAGAACAATACTGGACACAATTTTGCAGATGTTTATTTTCAAAAATTGAAAATTTTTATACCAAATTTTTACTCAACAATACATTGTTATATATTTATTTATATCTGTTATACATTTTTCAGATTCATACGTTACTTACATAGAAATGAGTCCGTATCTGACAAGAAAACGTGCTGTATCAACACAAAGGTCTAAAGAAACACAATTAAGTGACAAAAATGCTGTTTCTAAAATGACATCTAAAACTAGAAGTGTTATTAACAAGACATTAAAATTGAGAAGTTGCACTAAAGTAATAAATGCAAAATCAATAAATCAAACACAAAGGACAAGGAATAAAAAAAGTAATGTATCTGTCTCAAAAGCTAAAAAAAATATGCAAAAGGAAAGACAGAAGAAAATAAGAAGTAAAGATTTATCAAAAGATGATATCAAAGATACAGTGAAATCTAAAAAGATCGTTACGCGTAGTAGTTCTGAAATAAAAAAAAAAGATACAAAAACTGAAAAAAGAAAAGTTATCACAAAAGTAACCAGAAATACTTCTAATTCAAAACAGATATCTTTGAAAGAAGCATTTTTAAATCAGTCTAAAGTAAGACTTTTACGTTCCCATAAAAATTCCATGAATGATAAATCAACAAAAAAGCTAGTTAGTCCTAAGAAAAAAAAGGTACCTATTTATAAATGTAAATTTTCGCCAGAAAAATCTAAAGAAAGTACTAATGAAATATATGAGTTTAAGTTTGATGTTAACGACTCGACTGAAAGAGTACCAAGGAAACGAAAGAAAAGAGCTGTTAAGAAAACAACGACAAATAAGAAAAGGAGAAATATACCGGTAAAACAAATTAACATGAAACAACTAACTAAATCTAAAAGAGTCAAAGGAGCAAATGTTAAATTTGAAGAAAATAATCCTATGGAACCTTCAACTAAAGATAGAAATGATGTATTAAAGACAGATTTCGTAGAAACAGACGTGGGACTGAATAAAGGAGCAAAAGATTCAGGAAATATAAGCGGTGAAGAAAATGCTAATACGATTAAAAAACCAACAATTATATCAGTAGAAGATTTGAGTAATAGAAGAATTTCAATAGTGCATACTTCACAAACATCAACCTCGCCTGATTTTAAACCATTTAGACCAACAAATATTTTCAATAACAGATTAACTGCGCAAAAAAAAGATGCACTTAATTTTTCTCTGTTTGAAAAATCTTTATCGCCAATTGTAAAATCAACAGAAAATCTTCAAATACCTTCCAGTCCCTGGAGGGTAGCATCATTGTATACGTTTTCTCAAGTGAAAAATGTATTTCAAAGTACGCCTCAAAATAAATACGACATTGTTAATAAAAGAATTTCGCGAATAAATAATGAAGCATTGAATAACGAATCTAAACAATTTGGAAATATAACAAAAATGAAAAATAATTTGCAAAAAAATAATGAAAATATGAGTACAGGAAAGCATGTACATATTAATACTCCCAAAACGAGAAATCCTTTAACTTCAAGAAAATTTGGCACAGAAATTACGAACTTAGATCATTCTGTACAGCTTAAATCTTCAATAGAACAAACGAGTGAACAAGTACCAACTAAAACTGAGACTAATCAGTTAAATGCAGAATCAATCAATGCAATTACTTCCAATGTAAGTAAATTTGATAATAATGAAAATAAAACGATAAACATTTCAAGTCCAAGAAAGAGTTTTAAAAAAGGAACAACAAAAGTTAAAAGCAAAATAAAACAAGATGATAATAAAGTTGATAAGGAAGAAAATTTCGATCCTCAACCTGGACCATCAGACTTACAAAGTTCAATTCCTAGTAAAGATAGACTATTGAAGCAATCAAATTTAAATAATTTCTTAAATATAATGGAAACGCCACAAAGTACTACAATTAAAACAGCTCATGGAATTTTTGATGATGTACATTCAACACCAATTACTAGCAAGGCTAGTGTATCTACTGTAGTGTTAAAAGATACATTTGGTTTTAGTGACGATGATTATAATCAAGAAGAGTCTCCTATTAAAAATGAAGATAAGAAAAAAGAAAAATTCACTCAAAGAAACACACAATTATGCAACATAAAACCTATTAGATTATCAATCGGTGAAATAAAAAATAAGTTATTGACTAAAGAATTGAAAGAAGATATACACAATAAAGAAAATATATTAACTGAAAAGAAAAAAGTAAAAAAATCACCCATTAAGACAAAGAATAAGCATAAACATGTTGATATTGTTAAATTTTCTGACACATTTGATATTCTCTCTGAAACAGGTGAAACATCAGCAACTTCTGCAAATAGTGTTCCATTATTTGCTGATTTAGAACCATCTCATTTTACACAGGTACATTGCCCGTAGTTTTATTATTAATAAAATTTTAAAAGTAAATTAATATTCTTGCGTAAATATATATATTCTTTTTCTTTACATTTTATGCTTTAGCCTCCACGGTATTCATATAAACGAAAACGTGCCACAAAAATTAGTTTTTCGGAGGATGAAAGCGATGAAGAGGAAAAACGAATAATGGAAAATAAAATAAAACGAAAAAAAACTGATAAATTGAAGAAAGATCAAGAAGAAAGATTGGTGGAATGGATTGAAGATATCAACAAAACATTTAGTGAAGTGGATAAATATGAACTTGTGATCGAGTAAATTATTAACTGTTATTATTACTGCAAAAAGATAAAATAACTATTACTAAAATTTCGAATTACATTAAGTCTTTGCGGTCGCTTAGAGGCGGGTGTAGCTACTTGATCGTAGCATTTACTCGATATAAGGAATATAATAGTAAGGTAATTGAGAAATTACACTAAACTAATTAAATTAGAGCAAAAGTGAATTTCATAAGAAGTTTTTGGTGATTGTTGCTTTTAGCTAAAGAAATTTTTGGTGATTGTTGCTTTTAGCTAAAGAAATTTTCTGATCTGACTAATCTGAAGAAGGGTTTAGTCTAAGAGCTCTATTCGTTGTTCATATTTTAAAAGTGATTTCATTGTATATTATATATGATATAATTGTAATTATGTTATATATAAATGTACAAATGTCTCAAAAATGCGGAGACAAATGTAAAAACGAAGCTATGCAATGGCGATATACATAGCAGTCGAATACTTGAGCTGAAAAGGGTTAATAGTTTTGAATCATCGTATGTGCTTATTTTAGTAACAATGTATAAGTTTATAAATGAAGGTGCTTGTATGGCAATTCGATAATTCCATATTTATAGTACAGACATATCTTTATGCTTATATGCAAGATTATCTAAAAACTTTCACTTATATAATTTATTATAAATTTTATTTGTATCGTATATTTTTTTAGATTATTAAGGATATATAAGTGTACAGAATATTACAATAGGTGAGTAGCTATTAATAAAGACTATTTATAATATTTGTATCAATGAGTATATTATTTTGATCTGACAAATAAATAATTAATGTATTTGTGCAATAATAAATTATAAAAATTTTATTTACTGTACATCACATCAGAGATTTCGAACAATTTGAGCGCATAGCGGTGAAACGGTGTATCTATTGAAAGAAAACTTAGATTTCAATTTGAAGGACATAATTATGAAAGTAATCTTATTACAATAAGCATATAAAAATTATTACAATATAGAATTATACAGAATTAGATACTTGGTTAAATAATCTTAGTTTGATACTGGATCAAATAGAATTATATACTTGGTTTGCGTTTTACTTTTGATTTCAGAGATTTTGGAGAAATTTAATTTTAATTCAAACTGAATTGACAGAATACGAAAAAACGACTTTGGTCAGATGATCTTAAAATATAAGATACGAACATTGTACGTCAAGTCTATTTTATTTTTAATCGATGGTTGTACTACCGCAAACGTGATATATGTACTTCGTCTGTGATATTACAATTATGTTAATAATTTTATTACCTTTGACGATTGACTTGACTTAATTATAATTTATGTATGCCGTAACAGGGAGACATTAAAAACACTTAAAATTTCCAATACTAATATTTCAGAATCCTAAGCACAACGTCTCATATAATGTCATATCTATTTTGTCTTTAGTCAATGACGAAAACGTATAATCGAGTACGCGTCGACTAGTGTATAGATAGGATAACCTCTTGAAATCCAATTATATGCATAAAATTTGTGTCATGCTTGGTGTCTTTTATATGCAATTATAATTACGTAAACTAAAATTAAGTTACGGAGGTACGGAGGTACAGAAATATGGAGGAATGCATTTCCAGTGTAACTGAAGAGAAACGGACGAAATACTTTCCGTGTAACTCGTCTAACACTGTGACTTACAATTTGAAGTGATTAGCCATGAAATACCCCGTTGTTTCTTGCACCAAAATGCATTTATATATACCGGAGTACCATCAGAAAATAGATACGGAGCAAACATAGCGTGGAAAAGGCGTTTACAGACATATGTATATTTAATATATTGGAGACAGATTAGTCTATCAAGATGTCAATACTGCCAACATTCTTTTTTTTTTT